GCGACCGCAGCGTTTACCGGGAGACGGCTGCAGCGACGCGTGGCCACGGCGAGCTTGTTTCTTCAGGCCTCTGGCCGCCTCCTGTTGTGCTACCCATCCATCTTTTAGGAAAGGACTTGTCACAACCTTGATCGTAGACACTCACGCCTGCTGCGGGAGCCTGACCCTCCCTCCTGGCGCCGGGGTGAGAGGGTCAGCCTGGCCTCGCAGGCCCCGAGGGGAAGCTCAGCCTCTGCGCCCTGGGCCCCTTGGCTCTTCCTTCGACGGCATTGCCATGAGGCTCTGCTCTTCTCTGCCTGCCTGGTCACCTTGGCCATGGCAGAAAGGATGGAGGGAGAGAGTGGTCACCGTGTCTCCCGGTCCCTTCCTCTCACCACTTCCACCACACCTGGCTCCACTGAGGCAGCTGCAGAGCTGAGGGAGGCCACACGGGCCCCTTTCCCTCTGCACCCCATGCACCCGCTCTGGTTCCCAGGGCACAACAGGGGGTCGGGGAGCTCCCCTCCCTGTGCAGGCTCCTGGTGATGGTGACACTGAGGTCACGGCTGCTCCTTCCCTTCCAAACCAGGTACTCCTTGTTCGCAGTCGTTAACCACCAGGGGACCCTGGAGAGCGGCCACTACACCAGCTTCATCCGGCAGCACAAGGACCAGTGGTTCAAGTGTGACGACGCCATCATCACCAAGGCCAGCATCGAGGACGTGCTGGACAGCGAGGGGTACGTTGGGCGCAGCCGGTGTCCGCGTGGGCGTCCACACCCAAAGCCACACCTGGGTTTAGTGCCACAAAGGACGTGCACCTCTGGTGGCTGAAGCAAGGAGGCTTGTTGCAGACAGGCCCCAGCCTCTGGTCCTGTGTAGCGCCCTCAGGGGATGCCCTGACAGCGGCACGAGGGGTCTCCTGGTCGGCCAGAGTGGGCAGGGGGACTCCGCAGCTCCTTGCTCCTGGCCCAATTCATTCCTTCCCGGCACATCCTCATCCCCTTGAGCTTCGCTCAGTCCTTGGCCTTGAGCCCTCATTAGGGTCCTGGCCCCACTGAGCTGCTGGGCCGCGAGGGGGCTGTGGTTCCAGGCTGTGGGCAGCCCCCTGGGGAGTGCATGGGACAGCCCCGTGCAGTGGTCCTGCCTCCCCCTGGGGAGTGCATGGGACAGCCCCGTGCAGTGGTCCTGCCTCCCCCTGGGGAGTGCATGGGGCAGCCCCGTGCAGTGGTCCTGCCTCCCCCTGGGGAGTGCATGGGACAGCCCCGTGCAGTGGTCCTGCCTTCGCAGCAGGAGTCTTACCAGCAGTGCCACTGACCCAGGGCCTGAGTCCCGGACAGTGGGGCCCGGTTCAGGAGCTGTTTCCTGGCGAATGGGCGGTAGGGTGGGCTTAGGGGGCTTGGGCACTGCCACTTCCTAGCTAAGGATCCTTCTCCTTGGGGACTAAGAACCAAAACCCATCCAAACAAGAACTCAGTCTGCTGGTGACTGCGGTGCCAGGACCGGGTGGGAGGGCGGGTCTTGCTGGCCTCGTGCAGGGACCTGAGGGACCGTCAGCATGCCCTGTCTTTGCCTCTGCAGGTACCTGCTGTTCTACCACAAGCAGTTCCTGGAGTACGAATAGCCTCCCCTCTGCTCATCAGAGCACAGGCCATGAAGTGGCGCCTCACAAAATGACCCCACCCAGCACCACGGCACCCCCATCCCCACAGCTGCAGCCCGGGCCAGGGCGTGGGTGTGGATGGACAGCGCATGGGGGGACCTGGGAGCTGCACAGCAGGACAGCACGACAGGAAGGCGCGCCTGCCTGGGAGGGCGGAGGGGGTGTCACCGCTGTGTCTCCTGCTCCTCCAACAGGGTGTGGGGCCCCCCACGCAGGGAGCAGCCTCGCCTCTGCTCAGTGCTGCTGTGTGTGCCGCCTCAGGAGGCGCCCGCCCACTGGACAGTCATTCCAGGAGCATGACCTCGGGGCATGGAGAAGCCCGCGGCGAGGACTAGGACGGAGGGCCTGGCGGGTCTGAGTTTCCTGTTAAATGTGTGCAGCGAGGGACTCGGCTTCTGCCCGCAGAGAGCAGCCCCAACTGCCTGGGGCGCCAGGCCGGCCCCTCCGTGCTCCAGGCCAGCCCCTCCCCCTCTCCCCCCAGCTCTTCCCGCACGACGGACTTCATAACTGCGTGTTCGTGACTGGATGAATCGAGCTTATGCTGAAATTTAGAGTTTCATTCTCCAGAGAGTCTTGCTCTTGTGCTGTGTTGTTGCCCCCACACCCACCCCCCAAGCCTGGGTGTCCTGGTGGCCCCTGGCAGGTGTGAGTCAGGCTACAGTAGTAACAGTCTCACCGTGTTCCTCTTGAGTCAGTGACACATTTTTCAATGGTTTCATTGTTTTCCTTCCTCGTGTTTTCTCCTTGGCTGCCTGTCCCACCGGCCGTCACAGCTCGGGGGCCCTGTTGGGTGAGGGGAGTGCTCACCTTGCTGAGGGCCTGCTTCCCGGGGTCAGGGCTGGGTGGGAAGGGCAGCTGCCTGCCTTGCGGGCAGAGCGGCGTGCGGCCTGTCCTGTGCTGCATGCATCTGTCTGTCCAGACCCCACCTCAGAGTGTTTGGTCCCTTTCTGAGACCTTGCAGCCCC